CAAAGCGCCATTTCTCTGATTTTTACGAACAAAACATTGAATTTGGCGCTCTCTCTGCATTTTTTTCAAAAATTTTAAGCTTTTTGACTACCAAAATAATCCGAAATCTGTTTGGCGGGTTGTTTTCTCGTTTTTGCCCTTCAAAAAATTTCATTCGGATTTTGGAAGATTAATTAATGGGGCCAACAAAACATTTTGTATCGTTTGGGCCTATATTTCACAGGGCCCGATTTTACAGTACCAAGTAAGTCACTTTTATAAAGCCGGTCTTGTCCTAACAAGTAACCGAACATTTTACAATCGTACCAAAAATTCGCTGCCTGTTTGAAATTTCAAAATCCCTAAAAATGGCGGATTCCGATTACTCCGTCGAATCTCGAACGACGGGAAATCGTAACGAATCGGAGGAGGAGAAGAAGAAGCCTGGACCCGTCTCACTCCGAATTTGGCCGCCGAGTCAGAAAACTCGTGACGCCGTCGTGAATCGCCTGGTTGAGACTTTAAGCAATGAATCTATCTTCTCTAAGAGATACGGAACTCTTGGATCCGAGGAAGCTTTAATTGTCGCTAAATCCGTCGAGGAGGAAGCTTACGGTGTCGCCGTCGTGTTGGGTGGAGATGACGGTGATGGGATCGAGATTCTTGGGGCTTATACTAAAGAGATTAGTAAACGTGTGCTTGAATCCGTGAAGACTAGAACCCTAAACCCAAATGCAGATTCACCAGTGGATTCAGTGAAGCTGAAGGCTTGAAATTTGGTGTTCTCTTATTATCTTTTAACTCTCTGTGTGTATGACTTAAGTTTGTTTTCTTTGTTGAGATTTTATCAGAGTTCATGGTGATTGTCATTGCATTAAGCAATTTTTCATGGTTATGTTTCTGCTTTAGTGTTACAAGTCCACTGGTTTGTATTAGAAATATTTGAAATTTCAGTTTTTTTAGTTTAATTCATGTGCATTGGGCAGTTAAATCAGATTTTGATTCATTTGTTGTTTTTTTTTTTTTGTTGTAGAAATTTGAAACCTGAGTTTTGGACCCTAGCTTTGCCTGACTCATGTCTTTATTGGTTTTTTGGGATGTGGAACTTGAGAGTTTGATTTTGAATCCCACCTCAAAAAATTGAAGTTCTTCACCTAAATTTTTC